TGGGGCTGGCCCCTGCCCCCTCTTCCTCCTTCCAGCAGCCCTGTCTCTGGTCCTCTCTCCACAGTGTAAGCACTGGAAGCTGCTTCGGGGCTGGCTCTAGGGTCCGGGGGGGGGGGGGGGGGGGGGCTGGCTTTAATCTGTCACTGGGAACCAAGGAGGGCGGAGGGAGGGTAGGGTCTCTGTGAGACCTTGAGTAAGTCAAGGCTCTGAGCCAGGTGGTGACGCTGGTGAGGAAAGTGCGCAAAGGGGCCGTTACCGTTACTCGTGGCGGGAGTGGATCCCTCGCGCCTACTCCTGGGCGTTCTAGGTGTTGCTGAAGATGGGCGGGCCTCTGTTGGGGCAGGAGAGTTTGGGGCCCAGCAGGACCGAACTGGCGGGGGCCCTGCAGGTCTGTGGAGGAGGGAAGGGGCATCCCTGGGGCTGGAACGTGCACGTGGGAAGGCCTGGAGAGGCCTAGGGAGCCGCTCGGTCTTGGGCTGGGGACTCGGGGGGGGGGGGGGCTGTTGTTCCCAGGGAAGTGGCAGGCAGGCATGCCCTGAGCTGTCTGTCAGTAACTGCGTGTTTTGTGCTGGTGTAGAGGGGCACTTAGGGACCTCCCCGTCCTGGGGCCATGCTGCACTGACGGTGCCTTGGTGTGCCTGACTTTCCCGCCATTCCTTGTCGTCCATCTTTCCTCTCGGTGACTGGTGTCCACGCTCATGGTCCTTGGACTCCTTGGACTCTCACTGGTGGTTAGGCCTACTAAGTCAGTGAGAACAGCTGGCTGGAATTTGGCTCCAGAAAACTGGGGCGGGAGGGGGCCTGGCATCCCCCGGCCCAAGGGTGTCAGCTGTGGGGGTCCCTGGAGAGTGGTTCAGGCCGCCCGCTGGGCAGAGCACAGGAACCCCCAGACGGCGTCAGTCGCCTGGCTGTCTGGGGCTTCCCACGATGTTCTTGGAGGCTGTGAGGCTGTGGTACCCCCTCACTGCAGAACAAGGGTCTGGTCTGCTCTCGGCCCCCAGGACCCTCCCTGAAAGTATTTAGAGTCTCATGGCCCAAGACCTCTGCCCTGGGCCCGATTAAACCGTATTTTATCCTAAAGCCTGAGACAGCAGAAATACCCACGGTGGGCATCCCACAGCATGGCAGGCTGAATCATGCGCAGGGGCTCAGGGCTCCCCTGCCCCCCTGTCTGGTGCACAAAAGAGAAAGGGGGCCTCCCATGCTTCAGCCTAGGCTTCTGGGACGCCCCTGTGGGGGCCACGTCTGCAGACCTCACGGGGCCACCCAGGCACCAGGTCTGTGCACGTGTGTGCATGTCTGCTGGAGAAGGGGGATTTATATTGACGGCTCACTGTGACAGAGGAGGGCACCGAGGCCACCCCGGCAGCCTTGTGTTGAGGGGAGGGCCGGGAGCTCTAGGCCAGCTGGAGGAGCCGGACAGACAGAGGCAGAGAGGCCAGTCAAGAGCCCCGGGGAGGGGACAGAAAGCCTGGGCCGGGGTGGTGGCTCACCCAGTGCCAGTGACGGAGGGCGCCCTGCAGTAGAGAGGGTATGGAGGAAGCTCCATTTCCAGGGTGGGGGAGGAGAATGCACGCCCTTATCTGGAACTAACAGGCATGTTTGGAAGCAGGGGACCCGGGCTCCCAGTGCCAGGCAGACAGGAGGATGCCCTGTCTTGTCCCCGAGGCACAGCGGGCTCTCTTGGAGGACGCGTGTGACTTGTGCAAAGTGGAGGGTGCCCCAGGAGGCAGAGGCCAGAGTGGGCTGCTGGCTAGGCATGGGTGTGATCCGGGTGGCTGTGGGGTGGGGAGGAGAGCCCAAGAAGTGGGTGCCCAGGCCTTTCTCCCCAGCCAGGGTAGCCCTGGCTGACCCATGAGGTCTGCCTTCCTTCAGGGGCTCAGGCCGGGGACATGTGTGGAGGAGCCTGGGGAGAGGAAGGGGAGGGGTCTAGGGCATCCTGGAGGAGGACTTGGGGGCCCCCCCATAGTCAGAGGCAGGAGGCCCCAGAGGTCAGGCCTTGCTCCTCTGTGCCCTAAGAGGCACGAGGGCAAATAGAAATGAGTCGCTGTTTTCTGTCTTGTTCTTAGCCAGGGCCTGGGCCTGGGCCCCCCAAGAAACCTGCCCTGGCTGGTCCTTTCCCTGGCTCTCCCCAGTTTGTTCCAGATGCAGACATGCGTTCTGGCTAGTGGTTTCTGAGAGCAGACCCTCTCACCTGGTCTGAGGCACGAGGCCCTGCCCACAGGAGGTGCCTGCTGTTATTATGGCCTGGTCCGAAGTCGCCGGGAGGCATGGGCCTGGCCCCAGAGTGGCTGGAAGACGCCCGTCCTCTTGTGGGGTCCTTCGACCTTCCTGGGAGGCCGCCTGGGCCTTTGGGCTCTAGGTGACATCTTGGGGTCTTGTGCTTGGAGGGCGCCTCAAGGGCTTTGTGCCAGTTCTATCTTGGGTAGCCATAGCAGGGATGAGCTCTCTTTTAGCCTTGGGGCACACAGCGGGGAGCGATTTGGACCCTCTGGCCCTGACCTTGGGAAAGTCAGCTCTGCCCCTCATTTCCCCCCCCCCCCTGCAGAGCAGAAGGTCGCGCTGGGGCTCGGGGGCCCCCTCTCCAGGCGGCCACGCAGCCTGATGGAGGGGAGACGGGGCATCAGGAAGACCTGGGCTCATCTCTGGGAGGCTCTGGGCAAGACCCCTCATCTGTACAATGCGGGGATTTCACTGCCCTCGCAGGCTTGACAGGAGCATGTTAAGGCCTGCCCTGCTGAGGCTTTGGGTGCAGGCTTCCCTGGAGGCCTGGCGGGACCCCTGCTGGCTGGCCTCCGGTCTCCTCTTGCCTCAGGCTCCGTCCGGGCCGGACCTCACGGAGGCTTTTGGCCTCCATCTCACTATCCTTTGGTCACCTGTGTGGTCCGGGCCTTCTTCCCAATTGGGCCAAGACGCCTCCCTGTGGCTCACCCAAAGAAACTTTTCTTTCCTGTTGGTTCTTTGGCTCTGGGCGAGTGTCACGGCTCCCCCGCCCCCCGGAAGGGGACTCTTGCAGATGCTGGGAGCTCACCCTGTAAGAAAATTCTAGAAAAAGCCAGTCTAAGGGAAGGAGAAAGCTCCGTCTGGTCAGAACACAACTTCCTGGAATAGGGGCGAGTGGGGAAGGGCCCTCCACTTTCGTGGCCCCGCCTGGGCCTGGGTGTGAATTCATCTTCACCAGCAGCTGACAGCCTGAGGGTGTGGTCTGAGGCCCTGCGGGCCTAATAGATGGGCAGCTGAGCAAAGGCCTGGGGGTGGGGCGGATTCTTTGGACCAGCCTGCCTCCCCTACTGGAGAGGAAGCAGGTGGGGTGCGGGGCTCGGTGGTGGAAATGCCTCACGGGTGTTTCCAGGGGTGCTTCCCAGGGGCCCCAGGCTGGTGGGTTGCCTGTGCTCGGGACTTTGGGGTGGTGGCAGTGCTTGGCCAGGATGTACCTCCCCCCGCCCCGAGGCTGCCCGGGAGCCCCAACCTGACCCTGTCAGAGGTCCTCGAGGGCCCCCGCTGTGCCAGGCGAGGTCTTGGGGGTTGGTGGGTTTCTCCTCTGCTCACCCGGGAGCCCCGTGGGCCCCCCCGATTGCGTGGCTCTGGAGACGATGGCTTCTTCCCGGGCTGCGCTCGTGGTCATTCTTCTGTGTTTGCTGCTGGCTCAGCCCCTCTGCTGTGGATGAGACTGGGCCTGGTCAGGGGTGCGAGTCTCTGCCCCATAACTCCTGTCATGACGAATGCCCGAGCCTCCTTCCCAAAGCAGGAGGCCGCTCCGTGGGCCGCCTCTGCAGGGAGATCCCTGGGCAGGAAGGGGGAAGGCTGCTCCTGAGTATTTACTTTTTGCTTACAGCAGTTTGAGATTGCACGGTCCCCCAGGCTTACGTGGCCTTCTTGCCCCCAGCATGGCGCCTGATGACCTACGGCCACAGACTCAACTTCCCTTGGGTCAGGGTTAGGGCGAGGCAGGAGGGTTGCCAGAGCCTGGAGGCTGACGCCCTCCTTCCTCGGAGGCAGAAGCTGGGTGGGACCTTCAGGGACGTGCCGAGGGAGAGTCAGTAACCCAGTGAGGCAGTTTGTCTAGGCCTCCCTCCACAGCCCGAAGCTCAGTAGAGACGCTCCTTGTTACCAGCATTCCCGATGTCGGAGGCGGAGTTGGGACCACAGTCAGAGCTCACCTCGAGTGTTTGCCCACCTTGATTTCCTTCTGTGCTTTCCTGGCTAAGAGTCTTCTGGCCGAGGCTTCCAGGGACAGGAGACTCATCACCTCCCCCGGCGGTAGCACATTCTGCTCCAGGATGGAGCCAAGCTTGGGTTTCCTTTGGCGGCTATCCATCTTCCGGGCCCTTTGGGGGACGCCTGTCTGGGGCGGCTCTGGCCCCCTCTGGACACTTGCTGGCCCCTTGATGTCTTTGCCAACAACGTCCTTCGGCTTTCAGAGCTGAGTGCAGCCCTTTAGAAGTGACTGACCGCCCTGGGCACAGGACCCACGCTCACTGCAGCCTTGCGGGCTTTGGGCTTTCTGCTCTGGCACCATGCTCTTGAAATCCCATTTTGCCCAGTTCACAACGGTTTCCCCACTCCCCCTGTGCCGCACATCGAGCGCTCCTGACCGATGTGTCCAGGAGGCCCGGCCAGCCTGCAGAGGCTCCGTTCCTCGGCAGGAGGAGGGCACAGGCCGGCCCTGGGCATCACTGTGGTCAGAAGGTGCTGATGTCCGCGGTGTCGGGGAGACGACGTTCTCCTGGTTCTCCCAGCTCCCTGACAGACGGTCTTTGGTGAGATTCTGTTGGTCCTCCAGAGGACACACCTTCCTCTCCAGGCCCTGCGCCTTGGCCTTCTTTTCTGCCCCTTTTGGGCGCCCGCCCTGCCCGCGTGTTCTCGTTAGCACCACTTCCCCCATCTTGTGGCGGTGGGCAGGGTAGGTTTCTGAGCCAGGTATTTCAATTGCCTTTAATTGACCGTGGTCAGACCCGGCGTATGAGCTCAGGGAGTCACCGCCTGGTGTCTCTGTATCCCCCAGACGCAGTCAGATGCTTTGCGGAGACCAGGCGAGCGACATCTGCGGCATTTATCAGAGCTCAGGAGCTGGCATGGCGTTCGACGCAGAGAGGAAACTGAGGCCCGCAGAGGCCTGTCTTGTGCGGGGCCCCCAGGGAGCAGGGGACGGAGGTGGGACTTCCCCCCAGCTTTCCAGCCCATCTTCTTGGTGCGTTTCCTTGTGGACCCGGGCTGGGGGTCACCATACGCTCTCATCTACTCAGATACCTGCTGAGGACACAGCCCAGGGTTGTGGTAGAGGGCCAGCCCGGGGCTCGAGTCTCGTCTCCCTAAGTGACCACGGGCGGCTCTGGGAGGCCTTGTGCTCGGGAGGAGGGGCTGCGCCGCCTTGGCCCATCTGGGTGGGCAGGACCCCCGGGAGATCTGCACGCAGCTCAGATTTGCGCGTGAGTCCCATGGCCTCTGGTTTACAGGACCTCTTTCCTCCTCCCTTTGTGAAGCTTGTTCATCCCCCAGACCACAGCCTCCGTGGGGATCCCTCAGCATTCGCTGACCGGTGGGATCACTGGTCACTCCAGCTTTTCTCTTCAGTACCCTGGAATGGGGAGTGGTGGTCCCTGCGGCCCTGGGGATAGAGGGCGGTTGTCCCCACGGCTTGCCCTGGGTGACAGAGGATGGTCATCCCTCAGGGACAGAGGGCGGTCATCATTTGACCTTTGCCCTCTGAAGGCGGTGAGCCTGCTTTTGGCAGTGTGGCCCCAGGATGAAAGCCCTGGCTGTGCAGTCCTGCCCTCTGCTGCTGCGTCTCAGTCCCCGTCCCTGACTTGCTCACTGGTGGTGCTTGTATCGGGGCTGTGAAAGCCCCTTCTCCACCCTCAGAGCCCCCAGCCCGCCTCATCTTCATGCTGGGTTATCTGCCTGAAGTCTGAGCTCAGGGGCTTTTGGTAACTCCGGGTGGGATAATTTGGGGTAGGTCGTCTCCTCGTGCCCCACTCCGCTCAGACACAGCTGGTCCCCGTCCAGTAAGAAGGCCAGAGGGGCCCCCCAGGACGGGGAAGGTCCTCGAGGCGTGTTCTGGAGGAGAGAACCATCAGTCAGGGCCACGCAGGCAGAGGCCTTTTTGTCTGCATGTGCCCTGGGCTGAGCTGCCCGTGGACAGAGGGACAGGGCTTCCCCGTGAAGAAGGAAGCAGGCACATCTTCTGCTGGGCCCCAGGGCAGGGGGCAGTGGGGAGGTTTCCAGAGGCCAGGTGTGGACCGTGTTGGGCGGGGATTCCTTGGCTGGGGTCTGCCCTGGGGACCTTCCTACCCCCCTGGGGCCAGCTGGCCGGGCACTCCCCCACACACACACACACAGAACAGGCCCTTCTCTTCTCCAGTACAAACCAGTGGAGCAGCTCTTGCCCTCAAGGGGCTTACCATCTAATCAGGGGGGGGGGGGGCTACATGCAGCATCAGCAGGAGGGCGTTAGCAGAGGGAAGCTGGCATGTTTCGGCCAGAGCCGAGAGACGGAGGGTCTCATTCCTGGAGCAGCCAGGAGACGGGAGGGGGGCCTTGAATGCCAAACCGGAGGCCGTGGGGAGCACTGGAGGTTGTTGGGTGACCTGGTCACACCTGGGCTTTTAGGAAAATCGCTTTGGTAGCTGAAGGGCTGGGAGCAGGCGGGGTCCTGGGGCGAAGGGAGGAGGGTTGCACCTGAGTGGAGCAGGAAGGATGAGAAAGCTAAGTGGCAACAATGTCCTTCCAGACCAAGTTAGGTAGAACATTCACCTCAAGGGTCCCCTTGTTAAAGGCTTCTAGCCCACCACCGGATGCTTTGCAGGCCACTGGCTGCCAAGGAGCAAGAAGGAGGTGTCTGACAGCATGGCGTCATGGCCTCAGTTTCCCTGAGTGACACCACAGTGATTGGGGTGGGGGTAGGGTCATTGCTGGAACTGGTCTTCACTTTGTAAAGAGTAGACACAGATAGGAACCACCACTGTTCTAAGTGCTCTGGCTACAAAAGGCAAGGTATCCCTGCCCTCGGAGAGCTTCTGTTCTGGTCAGGGGTGGTGGTGGAGTCCTTGGTGCAGTGGCAGCACTAATTTGGTAATCGGTGCAGGCGTCTGTCTGTTGGTCGGTCTGTCCAGAGGGAGCCACCACAGGGTGATTGGCAGGGAGAGACCGCCAAGTTGGATGGTTGGATGGGCAGTGAAGCATGGCACATGGTCGGGACTGGCTGATTCTCAAGTCAGGACAGTATGGCCTCAGAGCCAGGAAAGTGACACGGAAGCCAATGAATTGAGGCACATGGAGACTAATAATGGCGGTTAGGGTGAGTTAGGGACTCCCCCTGACTTCTGAACTCTGCACGTAAAGCCGCAGGGACAGTGTTTTCCCTCTGGGCCCCGGGCTGGGGGCCGTGCTCTGCTGCAGACTTCGCTAGCACCTCGTTCCTGACTAGTCACTGTAGTTCAGCATTCTAGCAAGCCACGGCTGATAAACCGCCACTTATTCTCCTGCCATAGGATGCATGTTACAGGTCTCCATTGTCTTGACGGTTACACATCGAATGGCTGTGAACATTTGTGCAGGTGGGAACTTTGTCCTCACCCCCAACCCCCATCCCGTGTACGTGTCTGTGGTTAAAATGTCAGCACTGCCGTGAGTGGGTCAAGGAGCATGGTCTACTTTGGGGGGCCTTTACTCTGGATTGCTGGCTGTACCGAGTTTGTGCCAGGCTGCAATCCCACCAACGATGTAGGAATGCCCATTTCCTCACAGTCGTGCTGGTGCTGTGAGTTAAAAAGAGCCTCCCTTTCTTCTTTGGGCGTCAGATTTTGAGGTCCTCTCGACTTACAGTGAGGTCACGGCTCCGCATCCTGGGCTAGGCACCAACATCAGTCCCTGACTGATTCACGTTACCGCCGTTCTGGCATTTTGATGGGTGCTGGGAGAGGAAGGCAGTGAGTGTTCTGTATGTGGGCCGTGTGCTGGGCGCTTTACGATTATCATCTCTCAGGATGCTTATGACAACTCGGGGAAGCAGTGCTATTGTGACCCCCACTTTGGAGAAACTAAGGCAGGCAGTGGTTCAGCGACGTGCGTAGGGTCACCCAGGTAATCCGTGTCTGAGGATGAATTTGATCTCCGGGTCTGGTGCTCCGCCCCTGCCCTCATCTCTAAATCGCTTTGGGAACGCTGCACACCCGAGGTGACCGAGCGTGACCGTTTCCCCCATGTAGGCCCTGCTGCCCTGCTCTCCTTCATCTTCTGCCTCCCTCCCTACCCCCACGCCTCCCCGGTCGCCAGCTCTGACACAGTCCTTCCTCTGCGGCCTCGCTTGGGCGGTCTCTGCCCACCACCATCCCTCTTTCTGGGGTCCTCCATCCGCGCCTTCGCCTGAATGACCCCGTGTTGTTTCTCACGTAGAGCTTCTGGAGGCTCCTTTTGGGGCTCTTGGTCGAGACAGGCCGGGCACCAAGGCCCGGCTTGTGGATGTAGGCGTCTCCTGAGGACGGGAGATTGAAGCCATGGGAGGTCACCCACAGAGAGGAGGAGAGCGTGTGGGTGTGTGGGCCCAGGAAGGCCACGATCAGGAGGCCAGCGGGGCCAGACTCCGTGGTGTCAGAAGCCCCGGATGGAGTTGGGTGGGTGTTGGACGTGGCTGTTGGGGGGATCCCCCCCCATCCGGCAGGCGGGCTCTCCCGGTGTGGCCAGGCTTTCGCCCTCCTCCTCCTCTCTTCAAGGCCGAGCCCCTCTGAGGGCCAGCCTTGAGCCCAGGCCGCCGCAGGCCTGGCTCCTCGCCTCCCCTCCTAGGCCTGGTTCTCACCTCCTGTCCCTCTCTTCCCTCCTGCAGGTCCGGGCTGTTTGGTCTCCCCTCATCTTTGCCGAAGCGGGATGCCCCCCTGTCGGATAGCTGCTCGCGTTGGGCCCCCCGTGAAGACAAGGGAGATGCCCAGGCCCCCGAGACTGTCCTCCCCCCTCTGCCGCCCCCAGAGAAGCCCCTGGAGCCCGCCCCGCCCCTGGTGCCCCCCTTGCCGGCGGGCAGCGCCCCTCCTTTCCCTCCCTACTTTGAAGGCGCTCCCTTCCCCCACCCACTGTGGCTCAGACACACGTACAACCAGTGGGTCCCCCAGCCGCCCCCACGCACCATCAAGCGTACCAAGAGACGGCTGTCCCGCAACCGGGACCCCGGCCGCCTGATCATGAGCACCATCCGGCTGCGGCCGCGGCGGGTGCTGTGTGAGAAGTGCAAGAACACCCTGAACCCCGAGGAGAGCTCACCTAGCCAGCCCAGTGCCAAGCCGCGGCGGCGGCTGAGCGCCCCGGACAAGGAGCCCAAGAGAGCCGAGGAGCTGGACTGCGAGATGAGGCGGAGCAAGCGGGAGAAGAGCGCGGGGGAGCTGGTGCCGCGCAGCCCCGTCATCAAGATCTCCTATAGCACACCCCAGGGCAAGGGGGAGGTCGTGAAGATCCCCTCCCGCGTGCACGGCTCCCTCAAACCCTTCTGTCCCCAGCAGGGCCTGCAGAACGGCGGCCAGGACCAGGAGGCGCGGGACCCGGGCTCCGGGGACCGGCTCGCTGGCGGGCAGCCGGCTTCCATCCCCAAGCTGAAGCTGACCCGGCCCGTGCCTTCGGGGGAGGCGCCCCCTCCCAAGATCCGCCTGAAGCCCCACCGCCTCCCCCGGAGTGGCAGCGGCGGTGGCAGCGGCTCCGGCGGGGGCCAGAGCGTCTCCATCTACAAGGCGGAGCTGATCGACGAGCTGGGCGACCTTCAGGGCGGCCGTGAGTCCCACGCCTCATCTGCTTTCTACGCGGACCGCTCCTCCCGGCGGCAGCGGCGGCTCGCGGAGCTGTCCTCTGGAAGCTCGGGGGAAGAGGACGACTTTGGCGGGTTTCCCCCGGCCAAGGATGGCCGCGACAACCTGGCTTTTCTCATGAATTACAAGAGGAAGGCCGACTCGTCCAGTTTGTCCGTGTGCAGCAACGACAGCCTGGACGGGTCGAGCTCGGACACCGCGTCCCCCGACGGCTGCGACTTCCTGCCCGGGGACGACGCCTCCGTGTCGTCTTCGTCCCGCGAAGAGCGCAAGACGGTGCCCCCGCTGACGGTGCGACTGCACACGCAGAGCGTGGCCCGGTGTGTGACCGAGGACGGCCGGACGGTGTCCGTGGGCGACATCGTGTGGGGCAAGATCCCCGGCTGCCCGTGGTGGCCGGCCCGCGTGCTGGACCTCAGCCTGAGTCAGAAGGACGACGGCGCGCCCTCCTGGAGGGAGGCCCGCGTCTCCTGGTTCGGCTCGCCCACCACGTCGTCCCTGTCCATCTCGAAACTCTCCCCTTTCTCCGAGTTTTTCAAACTGAGATTTAACCGTAAGAAGAAAGGCGTGTATCGCAAAGCTATTACGGAGGCCGCCAAGGCGGCCGAACACCTGAGCCCCGAAATCCGGGAGCTCCTAAGCCAGTTCGAAACGTAACTTCAGCTCGAGGATCAGGTGAGCAGGTGCGGGGTCCCTGGTAGGGGGCGGGGGTGGGGCCACGCAGGGTTCTGGGCTCCCCCATGGGGGGATGGGCAGGGGCAGAAGCCAGTCCTTTCGGCTTGGGCCAGAGACGTGGAGAGGAGGGAGGGTCTTCTTCGGAGTCAGGCAGGCCAGGACGGCTTCTTCTGGTTTAGAAAGCACCGGCCCCGAGTTCGACCTTCTCAGCGTCCCACGATTCTGCCTTGGACCCTGGGGGAAGCTGTGACAGAGAGGGCCCCTTTGGGGGCCCGGGTCCCTGGCCCTCTGCCCTTTGTCCTTGACCTGCTGGTGTGCTTCCAGTCGTTTGGGAGTGGAGGCCAGTGGCGGGCAGAGCACCCATCTGGGCTGGAAGCCTGGCCCTGCCTCTCCTCCTGTGTCAGGGCAGGTCACTTGACAGGTGTGGGCCTGCCTCATTCTTCTTGTCAGTAAAATGACGGTGTCGGATGCCGGGGGATCCACTGTAAGCCTGCATTTGTTTTTGTTGTTGTTTTTTGGGTTTTTTTAGGCAATTGGGGTTGAGTGACTTGCCCAGGGTCACACAGCTAGTAAGTGTCAAGTGTTTGGTCTGAGACCGGATTTGAACTCGGGTCCTCCTGATTTTAGGGCCGACGCTCTATCCGCTATGCCACCTAGCTGCCCCTCAGTCTGCATTTATTAAGCGCCTGCTGTCTGGCCTTGTGAGGGTGCTGGGGACCCCCATGAAACAGCCTTTGCTCCCAGGAAGCACGCATCCTGTGGGGAGAAGCAGCATGTGCGTACGGAGACGGGAAATGAGGGCGAGTGAGGAGGGCCTCCTGGAGGGGGTGGGCAGGAGATGGGCTGTTCTGCGGGAGGAGCGGCCGGTTTGACCAGACCGCAGCCTGTGCTGGACATTAGGCTTGGGCGGTTCTGGGGGGGCGGTTCCCATGTGGTCCTGGAGGCCAGAGAGAGCCGCCAGGCGGTCTGCTGGCCAGACTGGAAAGGCCAACTGCCATTGTAATCATTCCAGGGAGGTGGGAGGGGCAGCGCGAGGAGAGGACAGGGTCTCCGTGTGTAGCATGGACAGGCCCTGGCACCGTGTTGGATCTGGGGAGTGAGAGAGGGAGGGGTCCGGGTTGGCTCCAGGATGGTTGGGGGGAAGACAGTGAGACGGATGTCCAGTGGGCAGCTGGAGGGTGAGGCCAGAGGTCAGCAGAGAGGTCAGGGCAGAGGCTTTGGGGAGAGACGGCGAGCTCCGTTTTGGCCGTCTTGAGAATGGTTGAGGCTGCAGCGTGTAGGGCAGCAGATGGGGGCAGTCATTCGAGGCCCAGACCTCAAGAGGAGAGGGCGGGGTAGCCCCGGGCTTGTCCACCAAGGGGTCAAGACGGGCAGGGCAGGAGAACCAGTTTCCAGGTGGTGCCTACGAAAGGCCCATTGGTTAGGGTCCTAGGCCAGAGGGACGAAGGGGGCTTGGGGCTGCCCGGCAGAGGGATGTCGGGGATCCCCAATATCAGAGTGGAGGGCCCTTGAGGGCATGACCGTTCCTGGGCGTGGCAACGCTGGGGGTCGGAAAGGTCGGGCGTCTCAGGGACTCTCGGTCCTTGTGGTGTGAGATGGCAGGGGTCTGGCAAGAGACCCCAGGCAGGAAGGAGAGTCCTGGAAGCGTGCGGACCACAGCCAGACCCCTGGACAGAATGACCCTCAGAGGAGAGAGACTGTGGAAGTGGGGGCGTTCTACAAGGAGGAGAAAAGCCAGGGTGGAGGGCGGGGGCCAGGCAGCGGTGACAGGAGCGAGTGACCCGCGCTTGGCAGGAAAGGGGGCTCCTCCCAGGCACCCTGGATCCTGGGGGCGAGGCTAGGGAGGAGGCCAGCCTTCCAGCGGGGAAGGATGGTCAGAGAGGGTTGCCCCCCCGCCCCCAGCGTAGACAGCCCCCTGAATGGGAAGGAGAAGGCAGCTCGGGTCCTGGGAGGAGCTCAGCGTCCTTTGGGGAAGGGCCCTTCCGCCAGCTCCCTGGAGCTGGTGCCACCCGAGGAAAGGCCAGGCCCCCCAGCCTTCCTGGGCTCCCCCTTCCCAGCCGGGGACTGGATGGGGCGGAACCCAGACCCCTGAGGAGCGCTCCGGGACAGCCCGTTCGCCTGGTCAGTGGCTGCTCCTGTACCTAGCCTTCACTTCTTCAGGCCGTCCCGCCTCGCTTTCCCGATCGGCAGGTCAGCGTGCCTAGCCCTCCCCCGCCTCTCCGGAGCTGGTCACTCTTGTTGTTGACCTGGGACCGTCATTTGTGGGACTGCGCACGTTGTCAGGGTTTTTCTCATGCAGTTCTCTTGGTCGCAGAGGACAGTTTTGGGCCAGGTGACCGGTGGTGAGGGAAGCATTTATTAAGCCCCTGCTGTATGCACTTTAAGGACAGACCTGGTCTAAAGGTGGAGCTCCAGTAGTCAGTCATTAATGCTTCTAGAACCAGGCCGGACGTGGAGGCCTCAGGCCCATTTTTCATTCACTAGGATGGTGCCGTCCCTGCCCCAAGGGTGGGTCTTCTCTGTTTTTGAGGGAGGCCAGTGGCTTCCAAGCGCGCAGACCCCATCCCCTGGGGCCCAGGGACACAGCCAGTGTGGACGTGTCGGTGGGGTAAGGGCAAGTCCAGGTTTCGTTAAGACCCTTCCATTTCCAGAGAGCAGGGCAGGTGTTTGTGGGCAGAGCTCACGAACCCCTCGGATCATCTTCCAGGGGAAGGAGAGTCGGGTGGTAGGGGTGTCCGAGAAGGAGCAGGTGATGCAAGACGAGGGCGTCTCCTGGCCAGGTCCAGGATTGGGCAGGGGTGGGGGGCCCTCCAGAAAGCGGAGGGGACGGTGCCGAGCGTGGTCAGATGGGGCCTAGTCACCGGTCAGGGTCTGCGTGGAGACAGAGGAGTGAGACCCTTGGGAAATGAGCCGTGGGAGGGCCAGCGGACCCCACTGTGGGTCCTCGGGCCACACCCAGCTCTGATGTAACAGATACGAGGGATGGCGCGCTCAGGTGACCTCGGTAGTCAGCCTGGTATTTGGTCCGAGTGTGCCTGAGAGGGATGACCGAGGCACTGCCTTCCAGATGCTCCAGGGAGGGTCAGCTGGAGGAGCGGGCCGTGGGGTAATTACCATCTTGGGGCATCCGAGAGGGGGAATGGGCTCAGAGCGCTTTCGGACCCTGCGGGCCGTGGGGAGATCACCGCAAGCCTCCCATCGCCTCGCCTTGCCTCCTCTGCCCTGGGATACAGTCGGCCCCTTGGTCATAACGTCCACTTGGGGCTGGGGGCGAATGGTCCTCGGTCGGGACAGGCTGCACAGAAATCCCGCCAAGTCTTGGTGGAAATTAAATGGGTTACAGCTGCCCCTCCCGTTGGGATGGTGGGGGACTCGGGGTGCCCTCTTAAAGGTCCTTGGGCTGTGCGGGCCTAGTTCTGAGAGGGAGAGATTTGTTTCAGAGATTGGTGTATGAGGGTCCTTGTCAGAAAAGCGACCCTGCAGAAAGTAAAGTGATGCCCGCCGGCCCTTTGGCGCTGTGTGGTGCTGGTGTGGACATGCCCAAGAGCCTGGACCACCCCTAGACATCCATGCCGTCTCCTTCCCCGGGGCAGCTATGCCCCGGAGCTCAGGACGTTCTGCATGATGGCCCTTGTCGGCCACCTGGGTCCCCTTGGCCCCCCCCCCCAGGGGTGGGTCACTGGAGCCTGGGCGCTCCAGCCTGGCATGAAGGGGCTGAGCTTGTCTGGGAGCTGCATTCTGGGCTCCTGGAGGACGCCTCTGGGACACCTGTTCTCCCTCTCAAGGGATGTTTGACCCAACTTGAGAACCGAGGGTGCCACAGAGGTCATCTGGCGTATGTGGTACGCCGCCGTTGTGCGTTCTTGTGTGGCCAAGGAAACCGAGGCCAAGAGGAGGGACAGACACGCCCAAGGTCATAGTTCAGTCCTGTCCAACTCTCTGTGGCCCCATGTGGGGTTTTTTTTGGTAAAGGTACTGGAGGGGTTTGCCATTTCCTTCTCCATCTCATTTTACGGAGGAGGAAACTGAGGCAAACAGTGTGAAGTGACTTACCCAGGGTCACACAGCTAGGAAGTATCTAAAGCTGGATTTTATATTAATTTATTTTAATTTATCAACAATCACTTCCATATGCTTCTGAGTTTTAAATTTTTCTCCCCCTTCCTCCCCACCTCCCCCCCCAAAATGGCACGCAATCTGATTTAGGCTATACGTATACATTCCTATTAAACACATTTTCACATTAGTGATGTTGTAAGGAAGAATTAGAACCAATAGGAGGAACCACCAGAAAGAAGAAACAAAACTCAACAGAAGAGAAAAAATAGCAAACAGTCTGCTTCGATCCGCATTCAGACTCCATAGTTCTTTCTTCGTATGTGGAGAGCATTTTCCAGCACGAGGCCTTTGGAGATGTCTTAGACCCTTGCATTGCTGAGAAGGTCCAAGTCTATCCACGTCAGTCATCACACAGCGTGGCTGTTATTATATGCAACGTTCTCCTGGTTCTGCTCACTTCACTCGGCATCAGTCCACACAAGTCTTTCCAGGTTTCTCTGAAGTCCGCCTGCTCATCATTTCATATACCACAGTAGTATTCCATCACATTCATATACCACAACTTACTCAGCCATTCCCCAGTGGATGGGCATCCCCTCCATTTCCACTTCTTTACCACCACAAAAAGAGCTGCTATGAATATTTTTATACATGTGAATCCTTTTCCCGTTTGTGTGATCTCTTTGGGATACAGCCCTAGAACTACTATTGCTGGGTCAAAGGGCATGCACATTATTATAGCCCTTTGGGCATAGTTCCAAATTGCTCTCCAGAATGGTTGGATCAGTTCACAACTCCACCAACAATGCATTAGTGTTCCATTTTTCCCACATCTTCTTCAACATTTATCATTTTCCTGTTTTCTCATGTTGGCCAATCTGTTAGGTGTGATGTGGTATCCCAGAGTTGTTTTAATTGGCATTTCTCTAATCAATAG